ATGATACTCAACCTCTGATAAACTACAAACATAGGTCAAGATATTTATCCGCACACAAGCCACGGCAGATCAAATATTACGTTTACGTTTATTCATTAAGCAGATGCTTTTATCGAAAGCGACTTACCAAAGAGAAAATACAAGCAAAGTACTATCTGATCTCCAGCCATAGTCTTTACAAACATATCAGCAACATTCTGTTGACATAATTGCTCTGAGGGTACTCAGCACATGTTGGTAATCTTGGCTAAGAAGAATGCTAGTTTCGGGTTTGGATGTGTGAGCACAAAGTATGGTATGAACCCATGTCATGGGTATTTTCTAGGTATTTAAATTTAGCCTAGTTTCAGTGTCAATTTGTCCAAATGAGTAGAAACATGGGGACCCTGATGACGTTGTTTTCAACAGGGGCCAACAAAGCATTCCATCTAAAATGGAAAGTAGGGAATTGCCATATTCAACAAAATACCCTCTCTCGAATAGAAAAAATCAGCAACACACTCCACCTGAAATGACTCTGGAGGGACTTGAACTCACAACTTTTGAATAGCTCCAATGTTGAACCTAGAAGTCCAATGCCCTTGCGCCACAGAGCCCAGGTACCAAGGAGGAAAGGTGTTAAGAAGCAAAGGTGTTTCATCTCAGATTCTTCCAAATTGAGTGAGGGCATAGCACCAATCTGCGCCTGCTGGTGTTTACTCCTTTCTTTAACAAAGGGATGGAAGGCATTGGTCTTGAATGAAAAGAAGGCTCCTGCATCAGACACTGCTGGGATTTGAAACCAGGATCTCCTAATTACGAGGCAAGCACTTCAACCAACTAAGCCACAGCGCCACAGTGTTTAAATTCAGTGTTGTTGAACTGATTGTTGACTCTTAATCAAGCTAAGCTGTATGCCAACGGCAAGCAGACATAGAAGACATATGAAGGCATCTGCTCAACCATCCACGAAATGCACATTCTATCATGTCAGATTCAAAAAAAGATAACCCAGACCATTGGTCACCAACCCTATTCCTGGAGATACTCCTTTGAAGACCAATGAGTAGAAACATGGGGAACTTGATGATGTTGTTTTCACCTGGGGCCAACAAAGCATTCCATCTAAGATTGAGAGTAGGGAATTTACATATTCAACAGGATACCCTCTGTGGTATCGAAAAAACTAACAAGCAACACTCATGTGCAAGCAAATGACTCTGGAGTAACTTAAACCAAGAACCTTTGAGTAGTTCCGGGAGGAACCGCGAAGTCCAACTCCATGGCACCACAGAGCCCAGGTTATAAGTAGCATATGTTTTTCATCTCAGGCTCTTCCAAATTCAGTGAGGGCATAGCGCTTTCCTGTTTTTGTTTACTAAACAGGTGTTTTCCTGTTGACAGCACTTGAAATCTACACATAACACATGTCTGAAAGAAAGCAACCTTAGCACGAACCTGAATCCACAAGCTTTTAACGGCATCCAAGTCAAGGCTAGACTTTACCATAAAGTGCTCCCAGAACCAATCTTGGCTTGCTTGTGTGGTGTGTCATCTCAGGCTGTTAGAAAGGCATAGCAGTTGCACAAACAGAAGAGTCTTTTATCAGGCACTGAAGAAATTCGCACTCTGTATCTCTTCTATGATTGATGGGCAATTTTGTGTCCGTGCAATGCATCTCCCGTTTCTCCAGGATTCGTTAGGAAGCACCTACAAAAGAGTTCTTGTTGATAGCAGTTGAAATTTACATGCAAAACACGTCTGAAAGCAAACAAATATAATAGGATCTGAACCCATGAGGTTGTAATTGAATCAAGCCATGAAGCCACCACCCAATGCAACACAGACCAAATCACGCTTGTTGGTGTTTTCTCTTTTCTGGAATAAAGGGATTGAAAACATTGCTATAGTCATGCATCAGGCACTGCTGGGATTTGAACCCAGGATCTCCTGTTTACAAGACAGGTACTTTAACCAACTAAGCCACAGGACAATTGGTCTTAAATGCCATCTTTCATAACTGATTGTTGACTCTTACTTAAGCTAAGCTTTACGCCAATGGCTTGCGGACATAGATGACATATTAAGGCATCTACTCAACCAGCCATGAAATACACATTCTGTCGTGTCAGATTCAGAAAAAGATAACCCAGACCATTGGTCACCAACCCTGTTCCTGGAGATACTCCTCTGAAGACCATAGCACCAGCTAAAGTATTTTAGACATAGGCATCATACACAGATGCTGATCTGGCATATGCATACATGTTGTTTGTGCCAGAATGCTGCTCCTACCACTGATTTGAGACATTCTAGAATTCTCAACCTATGATAAACCACAAACATAGGTCAAGATATATTTCCACAAACAGCAGACAAGCCCCAGCAGATCAGAGACACTATCTGATCTCCAGCCATGGTCGTTACACACATATCACCAAATTTCTGTTCACAGCAATTGCACTGAGGGTACACAGCACATGTTTCTAATCTTTGCTAAGCAGAATGCTAGTTTGGGGTTGCGATGTGTGAGCACAAAATTATGGCGGGAATCCATGGCATGGGTATTTTCTAGGAACTTAAATTTAGTACAGCTTCAGTGTCATTTTGGGCAAATGAGTAGAAACATGGGGAACGTGATGACGTTGTTTTCACCTGAGGCCAACAAAGCATTCCATCTAAAATGGAGTGTAGGGAATTTCCATATTCAACAGGATACCCTCTATGGTATCGAAAAAACTAACAAGCAATTCCCATGTGCAAGCAAATGACTCTGGAGGAACTTAAACGAACAACCTTTGAGTAGTTCCAGTGCGGAACCTCGAAGTCCAAGTGCTCTCCATTGCACCACAGAGCCCAGGTTATAAGTAGCAAAGCCGTTTCATCTCAGGCTCTTCCAAATTCAGTGAGGGCATAGCGCTTTCCTGTTCTTGTTTACTAAACAGGTGTTTTCCTGTTGAAAGCACTTGAAATCTACACGTAACACATGTCTGAAAGAAAGCAACCTTTTCACAAACCTGAATCCACAAGCTTTTAATCGCATCAATGTCAAGGCTAGACTTTACCTTCCAGAAGCCCACCGAACCAATCTTGGCTTGCTTGTGTGGTGTGTCATCTCAGGCTGTAAGTAAGGCATAGCAGTTGCACAAACAGAAGAGTCTTTTATCAGGCACTGAAGAAATTCACACTCTGGATCTCTTCTATGATTGATGGGCAATTTTGCGTCCCTGCATTGCATCTCCCGTTTCTCCAGGATTCGTTAAAAAGCAAGTACAAAACAGTTCTTGTTGATAGCAGTTAAAATTTACATGCAAAACACGTCTGAAAGCAAACAAATATAATAGGATCTGAACCCATGAGGTTGTAATTGAATCAAGCCATGAAGCCACCACCCAATACGACACAGACCAAATCAAGGCTTGCTGGTGTTCTCTCTTCTCTGGAGCAAAGGGATTGAAAACATCGCTATAGTCATGCATCAGGCACTGCTGGGATTTGGACCCAGGATCTCCTGTTTACTAGACAGGGGCTTAAACCAACTAAGCCACAGCACCACCGGTCTTAAATTCCATCTTTCTAAACTGATTGTTGACTGTTACTCGAGCTAAGCTTTACGCAAATGGCTTGCGGACATAGATTACATATTAAGGCATCTACTCAACCAGCCATGAAATGCACATTCTGTTGTGTCAGATTCAGAAAATGATAACCGAGTCCATTGGGCACCAACCTTATTCCTGGAAATACTCCTTTGAAGACCATAGCACCAGCTATAGTATTCTAGACATAAGCATCCTACACAGATGCTGATCTGGCATATGCATACATGTTGTCTGTGCCAGAATGCTGCTCCTACCACTGATTTGAGACATGCTAGGATACTCAACCTATGATAAACCACAAACATAGGCACTGAAGAAATTCGCACTCTGGATCTCTTCTATGATTAATGGGCAATTTTGCGTCCCTGCATTGCATCTCCCGTTTCTCCAGGATTAGTTAAAAAGCAAGTACAAAACAGTTCTTGTTGATACCAGTTGAAATTTACATGCAAAACACATCTGAAAGCAAACAAATATAATAGGATCTGAACCCATGAGGTTGTAATTGAATCAAGCCATGAAGCCACCACCCAATGCGACACAGACCAAATCAAGGCTTGCTGGTGTTCTCTCTTCTCTGGAGCAAAGGGATTGAAAACATTGCTATAGTCATGCATCAGGCACTGCTGGGATTTGAACCCAGGATCTCCTGTTTACAAGACAGGTACTTTAACCAACTAAGCCACAGGACAATTGGACTTAAATGCCATCTTTCATAACTGATTGTTGACTCTTACTTAAGCTAAGCTTTACGCCAATGGCTTGCGGACATAGATGACATATTAAGGCATCTACTCAACCAGCCATGAAATGCACATTCTGTCGTGTCAGATTCAGAAAAAGATAACCCAGACCATTGGTCACCAACCCTGTTCCTGGAGATACTCCTTTGAAGACGATACTTGTGAAAGAAAACAAATATGGCAGGACCTGAATACACAAGCTGTTTATAGAATCAAGCTTAGATGTCACCATCCAATGTGACAGAACCAATCTCTGCTTGCTGATGTTTCATGGCAGGAAGTAACAAAGACATGGCTCTTGCAACAAGAGAAGAGACTTGTAGTAGGCACTGATGGGATTTGAACACGGTTTACAAGACAGTTGCTTTAGCCAACTAAGCCACAGTGCTATGGCTACTTCCATCTGCATAGAATGTTGGTTCTTAATCAAGCTACGCGTTACTCAGATGTCATGCACACTTAGATGGCCTGTTAAGGCATCTACTTCACCAGCCATGCAATGCACATTCTGGGGTAGCAGATTGTGAAAAACATAGCCTAGACCAGTGGTCACCAACCCTGTTCTTGGAGAGCTTCTTTTGAAGACCTTAGATCCATCTAAAGTCACCTAGACAAAGGCATCCTACGCAGATGCTGTGTGAAGGGTGAGGGTCTGTGCAAAGAAGAGCACACTCAACGACCACGACGAGATTTGAACACGCAATCTTCTGATCTGAAGTCGGACATGCTACCATTGCACCACGAGGTCACAGCAAGAAAGCCATAGCGCATCATGGTGCAAGGCATACTTGTTCATGGTTGCACTGATCAAGACACATTGGAACTCAGAGACAAGTGGTGGGCTGTGACTTTTGTGACTAGAGTCTGACATCTGGGCAAGAGTTTCTTCAGAAGACAAGGCACAAGCCCTTTCATGGCATAACCTGACTGGCTTCCCCTTCCCTTGACTTTAAGGGAGATTTTCAAGCTCAAATGGCAGATCTCACCTCAGTGCATGAGAGTGAAGCGTGGAAAACTTATACCTGAAGCACAACTTAGAGACTCAACTGCCTATGTGATAGAACCATGGTTCAACTTTCTTTTGGGTAACTTCACACATTTACCACTTGTACGAGGCCTTTGTGTCATTATATGTGTCAGATGATGTGTCAGAATCAGTGGCAACGGTGGAATAAAGCTGCTTCTTGCGAGTCATACAGAGCCAAGATTGCACGTCTGTTTGTGAGTGGAACTAACTTGTTTGATAGTCATTTGGTCTCCTTGTGCAGAAAAGACAAGTTTAATTAAATATGCTGATGCTATTCAAATTATTCTCATACCATGACAAGCAAGGCATTCTTTGAACCAAGGCAAGACTTCAGAGTTAGCCTCATGAATAAGAGTTATGCTGGTAACAATTTGCAAGTGACATGATGGTCAAAAGTCTACTAGTTGTAAAGGAAAATACAAACAAGGTAGTTAAACAGAAAACGCTAGGGTTAAGTTGAAACTGGACAACATAATAGATAGGACCAAAGTCCAACCTTCTCTTGGTTAAAGTCAACATTTTACAGGTTACACAAAAACCAGTTATATCTGTGAATGAGTGTGTCCACAGAACTTACCTTCAACTTAGATTGTTAACTGAGGTCTCATGTAGAGCCCAGATAGCTCAGTCGGTAGAGTTTTTTTCTGTTGATAAGACTTGAATTCTACATGCAACACATGTCCCTCCTGGAATTCACCATCAAGTGTGCCACAGAAACCATATTGGCTTGCTTGTGCTATGTTTCATCTCAGGCTATAAGAAAGGCATAGCTCATGTAGAAACAAAAGAGTCTTCTAACAGGCGCTGAAGAGATTCAAACCTTGGATTTCTCCTTTGCTTGACAGCCCATTTAGCATCCTGGCATGGCATCTCCATTTCCACCCAGATTCTAAAGGTTGCAATTACTGAAAAGTTCCCGTAGTGTAGATAGTTGAGGTGCTGAGTCTAGGTGCTTTAGTCAACTAAGCCACAGTGCCACAGCGCTATGGCCCCTTCCACCCGCATAGAATGTTGGCTCTTAATCAAGCTACACGTTACTCAAATGCCATGCACACTTAGATAGCCTGTTAAGGCATCTACTTCACCAGCCATGCAATGCACATTCTGGGGTAGCAGATTGTGAAAAACATAGCCTAGACCAGTGGTCACCAACCCTGTTCCTAGAGAGCTTCTTTTGAAGACCCTAGATCCATCTAAAGTCACCTAGACATAGGCATCCTACACAGATGCTGATTTGGCAGATGCATATATGTTGTTTGGTCTGAATGCTGCTCCTACCACTGATTGGAGGCTTGCTGTTATCCTCAACCTAAGATAAACCACAAACATAGGTCAAGATATATATCTACAAACAGCAGACAAGCCACGGCAGATCAAAGTTAGCTATGTGATGTCCAGCCATAGTTTTTACAAACATATCAGCCAAATTCTGTTGATAGCTATTGCTCTGAGGGTATGCAGCACATGTTTCTGATCTGAACGCTAGTGTGGGGTTTGGATGTGTGAGCACAAATTTCAGCATGAATCCATGTCATGGGTATCTATACAGATTTGAATTTAGTACAGCTTCAGCTACATTTTGGCCAAATGACTAGAAACATTTGGAACGTGATGTCGGTTGTTTCAACTGGGGGCCAACAATGCACTCTATCTGAGATGGAAAGTAGGGAATTGCCATATTCAACAGGATTCATCACCATGGAATTTTTCTCAGATACACTCTAAGGGACAGAAAAAGCCAGCAAGCAACAAGCATATGACTCTGGTGGGACTCGAACCCACAACCTTTGAATAGCTCCAATGCTTAGCTTAGAAGTCCAACACGCTATCCATTTTTTTTTTTAATTCAAAAGTATGTCAACAGTAAAAACATATTCCACCATAAATAATTTTCACATTAAAATACATCAGTCTATACATATTGGTGGCAGCTGTCACTTACGGCCATACCATTCCGACAAAGCCCGATCTCATCTAACCTCGGAAGCAAAGCCAAGTTTGGCCTAGTTAGTACTTGGATGGGAGACTGAATGGGAATACTAGGTGCTGTAACGTGAGCTTCGCAGAGAATTTCGCTCCGCTTCCCTACTTCGCCAAAAATACTGTGTGGTTTCCTGGCTCTGCTTGGGACATTCACCCCAGGGGCCCGGGGCTGCCAATGATATGGGAGGTACTACACACGGTGCAGGTAATTAAACTTCGTATGACGTTCCATGTTAGTTGTAGTTCATGCTGGGTTATCCGCTCCAGATCATTGTCTAATCTCATGTTTATGTTTGTTTCTCGACCCTGTTTTTGGTGCCACGTTATTGATATCTGCCCTGCCCCAAGTTTATGCCTGTTTGCCGTTCGCCTGACCTTCGCCTGTTTTCTGGAATATGCATTTGGATTACGTTTTGGATTTGTCTGCCTGCCTCTTTATAAATAAACTACACTCGTTCTTATGTGCGCTTACCTCATTCCTTCCGTCACGAGCTGTGACATTATTGTTAACAACATCATTACTGATCAGGCATTTAATTTAATGTGTTTAACGGAAACTTGGATTAAACCAAACGAGTACATAGCATTAAATGAAGCCAGTGCTCCTGGATACAGTTATGTACATCAGCCTCGTTCAACTGGTAGAGGAGGCGGTGTTGGTCTCATCCATAGTCAAAATGTAGTCATCACACAAAATCCTTATCATAAATTGAATTCTTTTGAAATTCTTTATACCAGTGTAAACTATGTAGCCAGAAACAATAAGTCAATTATTATTTACAGACCCCCAGGGCCATATACTGAATTTCTTAGAGAATTTGCAGACTTTGTCTCAAACCTGGTTGTGTCTGTAGATAAAGCATTAATCGTCGGAGATTTTAATATTCATTTTGATAACCCGGAAGACCCTCTAAGAATAGCGGTTGTGTCCATCTTGAATTCAGTAAGGATTAATCAGAACGTAAACGGACCTACTCATAATGGTGGTCACACTCTAGACCTCATACTAACATACGGACTAAGTATAGAAAATATTGTAATTTTTCCACAGTCTGAAGTTGTCTCAGACCATTATCTTATCTCACTCATAATGCATATTGATCATAATTTTTCCACCTCGCCTCGCTACCATGTTAAATGTACGTACACATCAGCTACTGCACCGAGCTTCATAAATAACCTCGAAGAAACATCAGTTAGATTTGGATCACTGTCAGATCCCATAGAACTCGATCAGGCGACTGAAAGCTTGGAGTCAACACTCCGCTACACGCTAGATAGAGTGGCTCCACTCAAAAGAAAAATAATTAGAGAGAAAAAATTAGCACCCTGGTATAACGATCAAACGCGAACCTTAAAACAGAAAACTTGACAATTAGAACGCAAATGGCGTCAAACCAAACTGGTGATATTTCAAACAGCATGGAAGGAGAGTCTACTGAAATACAGAAAATCTCTTAAGTGAAGCTAGAAAAATCTATTTCTCCACCTTAATAGGAGATAAACAAAAACAATTCTAGATTCCTTTTCAACACGGTAGCAAAATTCACTAGGAATAAAACCACTACAGAGAGAAACACTCAATCATTACATAGCAGTGAAGATTTCATGAAATTTTTCATTGATAAGGTTGAAAATATTAGACATGAAATACAGGTCATTAAATTAAAACCAGACAGTACTGTAAAAAACCCATTACATGACAATGTAGCAATATCGGATCAATGTTTAGAGTATTTTGCTCCACTTGGAGAGACCGAACTAGCTACATTAATCTCTTCAGCCAATTCATCAACTTCCATACTAGATCCCGTACCTACATGTTTGTTTAAACAGATTTGTCCAGAAGTAATTGAACCACTTTTAAATATAATCAATTCTTCACTAACCACTGGCTATGTCCCTAAATCACTTAAATTAGCAGTTATTAAACCCTTGATTAAAAAACATGACCTTGACCCATCCCAATTGTCCAGCTATAGACCAATATCAAATCTCCCCTTCATCTATAAGATCTTAGAAAAGGTTGCAGCAAAGCATTTACGCTCGTACTTGGATAGGAACAACATTCATGAAATGTATCAGTCAGGATTTAGAACTCATTATAGCACAGAGACAGCGTTAGTTAAAGTAGTAAATGACCTTCTACTGACCTCTGATCAGGGCTGTGTCTCACTGCTTGTGTTACTCAACCTTAGTGCAGCTTTTGATACTATAGATCACACTATTCTCCTTGATAGATTAGAAAATGTTGTTGGCATTAAGGGAACAGTCCTCTCCTGGCTCAGGTCTTATCTGACCGACCGTTATCAGTTCGTAGATGTAAATGGTGATTTCTCCATGCATACTGAGGTTACTTTTGGAGTTCCACAAGGTTCTGTTTTAGGCCCACTGCATTTTTACTTTATATATGCTTTCCCCTAGGACAAATTATTCATAAACATGGAATTAGCTTCCACTTTTATGCTGATGATACACAGCTGTATGTTTCAGCAAAGCGAGAGGACAGACAGAAGCTTAGTAAAGTTGAGGATTGTGTAAAGGACATTAGACGTTGGATGTTAACCAACTTCCTTTTACTTAATTCTGATAAAACAGAAATACTTTTATTAGGCCCACGTGTAGCAAGAATGAATAATTCTGATCACATGGTTACTCTGGATCGTCTTTCTGTTTCATCATGTACAGCAGTTAAAGACCTCAGAGTGATTGTTGACTCCAGTCTATCATTTGATGCT